TGCAAAATTGTGTCAATTTTATGTAATCCCATTTGTCAATTTTGGCTTTGATTGCCTGTGCCTCTGGGGTCTTTTCCAAGAACCGTTTGCCTAAGCCAATGTCTTACAGGGTTTCCCCAATGTTCTCTAATAATTTGATGGTATTGGGTTGTAGATTTATGTCTTTAACCCATTTTGAGTGGGTTTTTTGATTGTAACTGCCCTGTAGTATGGCTTGAAATCTGGTATTGTGATGTCTCTGGCTTTGTTTTTGTTGTATAAAATTGCCTTAGCTATTTTGGGTCTCCTGTGTTTCCATATGAATTTCAACATGTATTTTTTTTTTCTATATCTGAGAAGAATGTCCTGGGTATGTTGATTGGATTGCATTGAATCTGTAAATTGCTTTCAGTATTATGGACAAATAACCAAGACAGAAATTGAATCAGTAATAAAGACCCTCACAACAAAGAAAACCCCAGGACTGGATGGATTCACTGCTGAATACTACCAGGCATTTAAAGAAGAACTAACTCTAATTCATTTCAAACTATTCAAAACAATTGAAAGACAGGGAATCCTCCCAAATTCTTTCTATAAGGCCAGCATAACCTTAATTCCTAAACCTGAAAAAGATACAGCAGAGAAAGAGAACTACAGACCAATTTCCCTGATGAACATAGACGTAAAAATCCTCAACAAAATACTAGCCAATTGAATCCAACAACACATCAGAAAGATCATCCACCCTGACCAGGTGGGATTTATCCCTGGTATGCAGGAATGGTTTAATATTCACAAGTAAATCAATGTAGTACATCACATTAACATATTGAATAACAGAAACCACAAGATTATCTCAATAGATGCAGAGAAAGCGTTTGATAAAATACAACACCCTTTCATGATGAAAACTCTAAGCAAATTGGGTATAGAGGGAACATTCCTCAACATAATCAAAGCAATTTATGACAAATCCACGCCCAGTGTACTATTGAATGGGGAAAAGTCAGAAGCATTTCCACTGAGATCTGGTACCAGACAGAGATGCCTACTCTCACCATTGCTATTCAATATAGTACTGGAAGTTTTAGCCAGAGCCATTAGGGGAAAAAAGAAGAAAGCAAATCAAAGGGATACAAATTGAGAAGTAGGAAGTCAAACTATCCCTATTTGCAGATGCCATGATTCTATATATAAGGGATCCAAAGAACTCCACTAGGAGACTATTACAACTCATAGAAGAGTTTTGTAAAGTGGTAGGATATACAATCAATGCACAAAATTCAACAGTCTTTGTATACACAGACATTTCCACAGCTGAGAAAGAGCTTCTAAGATCAATTCCATTCACAATAGCTACCAAAAAAAAAAAAAAAAAAAACCACCCAAATACCTTGGAATAAATTTAACCACGGCCCTCAAAGATCTCTGTGATGAGAATTACAAAACATTAAAGAAAGAAATAGAAGAAGAAACAAAAAAGTGGAAAAATCTTCCTAGTTCATGGATTGGAAGAATCAATATCATCAAAATGTCCATAGATCTTCATCTTAAAAAATTTCTGATTTTACTTGTGACATTAATATGCCCAAATTAAAAAGAAAAATGTATAGCTTCCCTTGCAGCTTGGGGTGATCATATGGTAGGCTTTTGCTGGTAGGAAAGAAATGAGATTCACTAGGTCATATTACCAAGATAAGTGCTTTGTCATTTTGCCATTTGCTCCTGCCTTTATCTTGCTCTAGTTAAAAATCATTGGCTGGAACTCCAGCAGCCTTCTTGTGGACATGAGGCAACTCTGCCTAAAATGTGTAGAGAGATGGAACCATAAATCTTTGATGACAACATGAAAATGTCACACTCTTCCTCAACTGCCTGTATTTTGAATACTAGTTATGTGAGAAAATTTTAAATGACTTCCTTGATTTTTTTCTGTTCTCAGCAGCCTCACAAAACTCATAACTGATACCACAGCTGACCTTAACAACACAGAGCAGCATCATTCATTTGCTAAGTACCCCGAATCAGTGACCAAAATGAGAAACATTCAAACCTCCTCAAGGTGATTCAGCAGTAAGCAGCTGCTGGTGTATACATAAGCTTTCTTTGGTTCCTTGTTCCTCATGCTCCCAACACAAATTCAGTCCTTCTCTCAGCTGTCTATCTGACATCTAGTATGTTCTTGGATATTAACTGGTCTGAGGCAGTTAGCAGGGAAGGGGGCTGGCTGTGTCATTTTACATTAGAAGTCCTGGAGAACAAACCTATGGGAGGAAAGAACTCAGCAGAGGCCGTGGCTCCAATTCCAGACAAGCAGCTGCCCAGATATGGTATCAGCAACAAGGCGGCGGCAGTGACTCAGCAAAGCACTTCACCTACCTCACATCGGGAGCCCGTGAGGTTGGACAGACGATTTGTTCAAGGAGGTGAACAAGCAACAGACTGGACTCATATTTTCCTGACTTGCATCTTTCCTGCCTGTGCACAAACTGGTCGTAGGAGCTGTGTTGAAGAGAGCCTGCTGTGGGCAGGTGGGTAGTGTGAAAGAAACACGGCATTAATCAGGCAAGGGAAACTTTATTCCAACAGCAGGGTGACTCAACCAGCTCCACCGCAATAAGGCAGAGAGAAACCCAATCAACACCATTGCAGTAAAAGGAGGGAAGGCTGTTAGGCACTAAGGCGAGCTGTTGGAGCTGTGCTGCTGGACAGCAGGCTGCGCCATTGGTCCTGGGCAGAGGCCACTTGTGTTTGCCACTTGCAACTTACTCAAGTTAGGCTCCTGTCCACCAAAGAAACTGGGAGTGAGCGGCACCACATCGTCCTTGATCGCGACATTTCACAGGGACGCCTCCTGGTCCTTGAGAAAAGACTTTTTTTTTTTTTTAAGGTTTATTTATTTTATTTGAAAGGAAAAGTTACAGGCAGAGAGGTAAAGATAGAGAGAGAGAGAGAGAGAGAGAGAATCTTTTATCTGCTGGTGCACTCCCCAAATGACCACAATGACTGCAGCTGGGCCACATGGAAGCCACGTGGATGCAGGCGCCCAAGCACTTGGGCCAGCTTCTGCTGCTTTCCCAGGAGCATTAGCCTGGAGCTGGATTGGAAGTGGAGCAGCCGGGACTTGAACCGGTGTCCAGGTTGGATGCCAGTGTTGTAGATGGCCGCTCAAGCCACTGTGCCGCAGCACTGCCTGACCTTCCTGGCTTGTATAAGCCTACAGGAAGCTGAGAGAAGATTTACCTCTTAAAGCACCAGGGGAAGAATTTACAACTGAAACTTTGCTAAAGTGCATACTCTAAGACAGGGCCGGCCAGGTGCCGAGAGTGAAGAGGAAGTCAGTCTAGAACATCCATTTAAAGTTCAATCAAGGTCACGGGGATGGGAAGGGGTTCCGGGTCCGGTTCTGGGTCCACTTCCCTTTTTCTCCTGGAAGCCCAATCCCAGAGCCCCTGCGAGCACCCTCTAACGGTGGCAGCTTTATCGGGTGACACGCCCGGACCCAATGGTGGCGGGACTGTTAGAACCTCATTCTGCCAGAGAGCTGCCACTTGACGCGGGTTCACTGAGGCCCACTGTGGCCGATGCCTGCAGTTTCCCGGGGCTGTCCCCATCGCCGACATGACAAGCCCAGGGCGGGCCGAGGGAATCCACTTCTTGAGGCAGAAAGCGTGTTTTCAGCTACACGTCCACTTTACTCATCTTCAGGAGAGAGTGGCCGGAGGTAGCAGTCAGCGACTCGGAGTTCCTTCTTCCAGAAAGCACCATCATAAAAAGATGACCGGGTAAGCACGTGGCAGCCGGCAGCACAGAGAAAGTGGAATCGCCCTTGGCAGGCATTTCAGCGTGCCTAGGGGGCCCTGCTTTTACTCCGATGGGAGGTTAACTGGACTGGCCTGAAAACCCAGGGCTTGGGGAGCAGGAGATGAAGGCATTCTATTTTTCCCTGAAGGCGCTGATGCTTTCTAATTAAATTTAAAGATTCCGTACCTTCCCCTGCAGCTTCTTCACAGAGCAGCGGAATTTTGGAAAAGACAAAGGCCTGGGGGTGGAGGTGGGTCTTTCGGATCGGGCAGTGGCCTGAAGCCTCTCTTCTCCTCTTCAGAGCGCTTCCTCAAACTCACAGCCCTCCCTGTCTTCTCCCCTTCTGCCAAGTGCTCATTTCTCATCTTCGGCGACCTCGTCCGTCTTGATCCCCAAATACCAAGCCCCTCTCTTTCCCTTGCTGCTGTTCACCCTGTCTGCTGACAAACCCGGCGTGCAGAGGGCGGAGGAAGGGGCTTCTTCGGCCACACGGTGGCGCGCGCGAGCCTCCCAAGGCCCGGCGGCCCCGGCGCCGCACCTTTCCCCGCTCTCGCAGCCCCGCCCGCGCCCGGGCGCCCAAGGAGCCGCGCCCCCAGCCCTCCCGGGCGGGACGGAGGCTGAGCGCGCCTCCGGGGTCCCGGCCGCGGGCGAGCTGCCGCCGCGCCTGGGCCGCGAGGGAGGCAGGTGCCGCCGGCTGCGGGCGACCCCGGCTCTTGGCTCCTCCTCCTGCCGGCCTCCCACCCTCCACCCTCCACCCTCCACCCGTCTTGGGCTCGGCTGTGCCAATCGAAGGCTTCCCGGAGCAGCCTCGGAGCGGCGGCGGGGGCAGCGGAGGCTGCAGGGGGAGCGCAGCCGGCCGGCCCTGCCGGGTAGCTGAGGGGAGAAGCGGGGGGCCGCAGCTGGGCCAGGGGAGGACAGTGCGAGTGCGTGTGCGTGTGCATGTGCATGAGAGAGTGTGTGTGAGCGCGAGAGCGAGCGAGGGGGGCGGCCGTCTCGAATTAGGGCGGGCCATCGGGGCTGCAGCCCCCGGGGCGCCCCCACGCCTGTCTCCCGGGTTTGCCCGCGGCGGCTCGCGCTCCCTGGTGTCCTTCACCATGGACTTGCGCGGAGTTGGGACGGGCCTCGGCAGCACCGCGCGGGCAGCTGCCCGGCCCTGGGGCTGCGCGGGCGCGCCCACGGGGATGGCGCGGTAGGATGGGCGCCCAGCGCGACCCCCGCCGCCCCAACCCAGCGGCCCCCGGGCGGTGCCGCTGACTCCGCCGGAGCGCCCAGGGGTGGGCGGAGGCAGCCCCGCCGCGCCCGCGCCTTCGGGAGTCGCTCTGCCTCTTCAACCCACTCGCACCTGCCACCGCGCCGATACCATGTCGAAGGCGGCCGGCGGCGCGGCGGCGGCGGCGGAAAGTTGTCCGCCGGCTCCGGCCGGCTCGACCGCGCCCGCCGCCGTGGAGGACCTGTCCAAGGTGTCGGACGAGGAGCTGCTGCAGTGGAGCAAGGAGGAGCTGATCCGCAGCCTGCGGCGCGCCGAGGCGGAGAAGGTGAGCGCGATGCTGGACCACAGCAACCTCATCCGCGAGGTGAACCGCCGCCTGCAGCTGCACCTCGGCGAGATCCGTGGCCTCAAGGTGAGCGCGGGCGGGGCTGCCTCTCCCTGCTTCCATCAACAGGTGGTCCTCCCCCCTTCTCCCAGTCAGCACCCCGGGGGCCCCCGGCCCCAGTCCTTGGGAAACTTTTCTAAACTTTGGGGGGCGTTTGCGCCCCTCCTTTTCCCCAAGCGGGGCGTGCCGCCCCGGCGCCCGCTCTCTCTCTGGGGTCTCCGCGGCAGGAGGCGCTGGCACCTAGGGTGCTGGCAGGCAAGCAGAAACCCGAATTTCCCGGGAAACCCGCACAGTCAGCTCTTTGGGGGAACTGGGTTAGGAACGGCCCATCGGGGGACAAGGCGAGCGCGAGAGAGCGTGAGTCCCGGGCATTTTTCGTCCTTGAGGGTCGAGGTACAGCTGCTCTGGCCCTACCCGCTCTCCCGCGGGGCAGAGGGGCTGGCGGGGACCGGGGGAGAAGCCGCAGGCGCCACCCCCGCAGCCGGCCGGTGTCACCCGGTGCAGACGAGCTTAAGCGCTGCCTTCCAGGGCTCTGGGAGCTGCTGTGCTTTCCTTCTCCTTGCGATGGCGTTACCCGGAGTTGTCTTCCTCCCTCTCCCCTCCCCAATTCGTCAGCAGCTTGATTTTCAATTTTCTGCAGCTCGTGGGGGGTGGGGGGCGGCAGGCAAAGGGACTCAGTGTGGAAGGCGCGCTAGGTTTGGGAAAGGTACCCCAAGTGTGGTTCAGTGAGCCCTCCTCCCTCTGCTGTTAGGAAAGGGGGTACCCTTGAAGCCCACCAAAGTTTCTTTTCTCTGTGGAGAACCAGGGTGCCCGCGGCGTGCTGGCCTGGCTGCAGCAGGCCAGTGGCGGGGAACCGCCCTGCCGGCCGCGTGCACTGCAAACTTCCTCTGCTTCCAGCTTGAGCCGGTGCCTCCTGGTACTCCTTCCTCTCATTGTTCTGCTTTTGCTTATAGGAAGCCAGGCACAAATGAAGTCACCGGCAGGGACCTCAGGGAGTGAGTCCCCGCAGGCACAGGCTGTTCTTGTCCCCTTTGCCTCCCCTCTCCTCTGGCGGGGGACACTGCTCTTGGACTGCCTCTGTGCTCCAACGCTGGGACTCTGGGGCAGAGAAGAGTGGGAGGTGGGAAATGGCTGGGTCAGGATGCCCCTCCCCTAAGGCCCCAACTCACTGTCACATGGTTCCTCCAGTAGATGCAGGTAGGAAGAGCCACAGTCAGAAAAACCCCACTGCCAGCCCTCTCCTTTGGCTTAATTCATCGCTAATGGAGTATTTATTAAGTCCCAGGCTCTTTGGGGAATAGAGGCAGGTTAATGGAGAAGGAAGCTCATCTCAGAGACCTGAACCTGGAATCCTCATTTGCCAGGAAGGTGAGCCTGGGTATTGGGTGATTACTTTCTCAGGCCCTTGTTTTATTCACTAATAACCTGTGAATGATCAGCATTTCCTAGGGTGTCATGACCGGAAGTTACAGTAACCTAGAGGGAGGCTGAACACTGCACTTGACTGCACAGAATGGTAGTTTTCATCGTCAGTGGATGACATATACGTGTGCAGCTGTGTGCCTTCAGGATGTAGGTTTCTTTGGCAAAGCTGAGTAATGGTGTTAGTTTGAAACCCTCCAATTTAATCTTTTTTGTGTGGTTTGAACCATAATGTGCTTGGAAGTTTTAAATTAGTTGATTTCCTGAAGATTCCACTGTAGAATACTGGCTTAATACTTCAGCGTTTTTTTTGGTTGTGTGGATTTACTGTATGTGCGTGGGCCTATGTGTGCATTGTGGGGGGAGTGGCATGAATGGTGGCATGCCTGGCCTTCCTTCTAGTAGCTTCATTTAGAGAAATAGCTATGAGGCCAGTTAAGGGCAATCAAACCCAACTAGGAAAGTCTCTTTGTGGTCTAGATTCATGATTTGGCATTAGAAGAATTTCTAGTACAGAAGTGATAGAGGATGATTACTTGATAACATAGCATCTATTTTCCATTTCATGCCCTCTCTGGCCAGCCGCATGGGAGTTGACTCCAAGGCTTCTGGCCCACCTCCAGTGATGGTGTGGCTTTCAGGCTGTGCATTGGCATGCCTTAGACATAGCAGTTAAGATACCACTTGGGATTCCCACGTTCCATAGCAGAGTGCCTGGGTTCCAGTCTTTGCTCCACTCTTGATTCAGGCTTCATGCTAATGCGTACCCTGGGAAGCAGCAGGTGATGGTTCACACACTTGGATCTTTGCCATCCACATTGGAGACCTGGATTGAGTTCCTCACTCCTGGCCTTGGCCTGGTCCAGCCCTGGATGCTGTGGGCCTTTAGGGGTGAATCAATAAATGGGCAATCTTGCTGCCTTTCAGATCACTCCATCTGTCTCTGCTGAGAGGTCAGCCTTCTCCTGTCTTTATGTCATTGTGACTCAGAACTTCCTTGGGCATCGTAGGGATCCATAAATGAGGTTGATTGAATAAATGACAGGTACATTTACTTATGTGAACTTAGCTGGAAGAATGGGGTCTTATTGTTTGGTCTCTGAGTGGTTAGGCACTCTTGACTGTAAATGCAGGGCAATTAAGGGCACCACACTTTTCTTTTTGATGCCCCTTTTTGCAAGTGGATTTAAAGTTGCATCTAAACATCTTTAAGGCTGCTAGGTTGTCTTGCAGCTGTTGACATGGGAAATGGACACATTGATTCTTTCATTTTCTTTCAAGGACCTGTGGCTGGGTCCCAACTCTACAGACTTGTTTGTGTTCAGACACTGGGGACGCAGGGCCATGTGGGAGCAGTGGGAAGATAAAGGTGGCTTGGGAAAACTGTTAACTTCTCTGTGCCTCAGTCTTCTCATCGCCTCAACGGGCATTTTATTATTACTTGAGGTTTTATGAGAGTTAAATGTTGTCTAGATGAAGAAACCTTGTGAAGTTAGATAGCTGTCTCAAGGTCACAGAGGTATAAAGTGTTCAAAATTGGCTGAATTTCTTTTCTTACAGTGAATTGATTGATGCTCCTTGCTTACAATGAGTGGTTCTGTAAGGGGTGGAGAAAGGAGATCCGGATAAGGGTCTGACGTCGTCAGAAATCTTATTCCTGAGAACCATGTGTGTATTCCAGCACCCCAGCTGCCTTGAGGAAAAAACCCTTCCCAGGCCCATTTAAAGGAACTGAATCTGTTGGTTCTCCACTGAATTAGTGTCCCTCCTTGCTTCTGATGCACCAAGCCCCTGCCCTGCAGTAAAGAGAAAGAACAAACCAGAACAATTCATCTTTACCTCGAAATCCAGTCCTGCTGTCCTAAGCTTGAAATGTTGGGTGGTAGTCTATGAGGTGGACTGAAACTTTTAAATGTTCCCTTTAGACTCTTGGGTAACATCTGGTGGCCTGTGCCAATGTTAAAAGGACACCTAATGTTTTGAAAAAGAGACCCAAAATCTTATTATTAGAAGGTTTATGTATTTATTTGACAGACTTACACAGAGAAAGGGAAAGACAGAGAGAGAGAGAGAGAGAGAGAAACAGAGAGAGACAGAGAAAGAGAGAGAGAGAGAGAGATCCTCCGTCTGTCAGTTCACTCCCCAAGTGGCTGCAATGGCCAGGAGTAAGCCAGGCCAAAGGGAGCCAAGAGCTTCATCTCCTGTGGATGGCAGGGCCAACCACTTGGGCCATCTTCCACTGCATTCCACAGGCCACTAGCAGGAGTGGGATTGGAAGTGGAGTACCCAGGACTTGAACTAGCACCCTTATGGGATGCTGACTTCACAAGGCCATCCCTGAGACGCCAAATCTTTTTTTTTTTTTTTTTTGACAGGCAGAGTGGACAGTGAGAGAGAGAGACAGAGAGAAAGGTCTTCTTTTAGTCGTTGGTTCACCCTCCAATGGCCGTTGCGGCCGGCGCACTGCGGCCAGCGTACCGTGCTGATCCGAAGCCAGGAGCCAGGTGACTCTCCTGGTCTCCCATGGGGTGCAGGGCCCAAGCACTTGGGCCATCCTCCACTGCCCTCCCTGGCCACAGCAGAGAGCTGGCCTGGAAGAGGGGCAACTGGGACAGAATCCGGCGCCCCGACTGGGACTAGAACCCGGTGTGCCGGCGCCGCAGGTGGAGGATTAGCCTAGTGAGCTGCGGTGCCGGCCGATACATCAAATCTTAATGTGTCAGATTTGAATTGAAGAGGTTGGCTCCCAAGCTGGTTGCTTCGCTGTTCATCAGAAGGTGATGGGAATACATGAAAATTGGAGAGTAAATATATTTCAAAGAAAACTAATAATAAGAGTGAGAAATTGTGTAAGAGAACATTGAATGAGACCAGAGCCTTCTCTGTGACTCCATCTGAAATGCCTGGGAGTCTGTTTCACTTCCATTAATTCTGGAAGGCCCGTGGTGGCACCAGCCCTGCGTACTTTCTCATTCTTCAGAACTCAGGGATAGCCATGGGGTCGTCAAAAGAAAGTGTTTTTAGATAAAGAACATGACTTGAACATTCTATGAAATGCCAGGATTAAACTACATTTGAGTAATTTTGAAGTTCAGATTAATTTCAATAAGGGTTATTTACCCCAAATATCTGTAGCCCTCCATGATCTCCAAAGCTTCAGTATCAAGTGATAACAGCTGTAGACTCCAGCATAGCAGGGGTTTGCTGAAAAGGAGAATAAGAAATCCTTTCTCAGTACTCATGTCTGTAGCCTGTGTTATTCATGGGTTCAGGGCTTTAAAGGGTTGATCAGGCCATAAGCACACGCTTTGTGTCTACTAAATGCAAGGCACAATGCTATGTATGTTGTGTATTACAAAGAAAGGAGCTAAGATATCCATATTAGAAAGGAGGAAAAACAATTGGTACCCCTGAGAGGCCTAGCTAGTGTGAGAGGCGTGAAGCTGTGACTAGGAAAGTGACCTCGTCCATTCATTTGTGGGTGCTGCTCTAGTGCTGTGGGAGACCTCTCAGCAGAATCTCTTCGCTGAAGTATGGGAGATGGGTTACTTTCTAGTTCGAATATCAGGCGTATTGGGGTTCACAGCTGGTTTACAGAAGGGGAGCTAACGGGAGAAAGGCAGGAGAAGGCCATTCAGGCCTGGCCAGGGGAGGGGATCAGAGTTGACACACGGGGAAAAACGTACACAGGGGGTTTCTGAAGCTACCTCTGGCAGAGGAAATTCTGGAGTGGGCAGGGGAAGACGGAGGCTGGGGCAGACCAAGGCGGGGAGGCGCGGTGCAAAGCTGTTGGCAAAGGTCAGGCCTGAAGGCAGAAAGAGCAGAGAGAGGCAAGAGGAGGTGGTGGGCAAGAGAAACGAGGAGAGAGAGGTGAGGGCAATGCCAGGAGTTAGGACTGGAGTAGAAATCTCATCCCCGCACTTCTTCCCCAGGCCTGAAAATCCTCTCCCATCTTTGGCTTCATGACGGCCAGGAAGTGAACAGAGGGCGTGGTTGGCAGTTGTTTTATAGCTTACTTTCTTGTCAGTGTCTGGGAGAATGTTGGACTCAGTCTCAGTTCAAGGGAATTAGTCCCCTTTTTGAGTACCTCTAGCTCTGTCTTGGATGAAGGAGGAGCAAGACCAGAGGTTTTTAGGCTTTGTAAAGTGGGGGCATCTTGGGCTGTCCCTGTCGCATCTTACCAAATCATGGTGCCTCAAGGCACAGTCGGCTCCTTTCCTGTGTCTGGGAATGAAGGGGAAGTGGGGCTTCACAGTATATTATAGAAATTGCTTGGTTTCATGTGTCTCCAGTGGGTTGCTGTGCTCTGGAGGTGGATAGAAGAGATGAAGTCTCCATTCTCAGAACTCTAACGAGGCTGTGGACTTGAACTGATGGGCATGCATTTGCATGTGTGGTTATGCACTGTACTAATTGCCGCAGAGGGAAAATCTGCAGGATGATGGTCGAGCAAGCTGTGGATTGGTGGTGGACCTTCAGAATGGCTTCTGTAGGAGAGTGGCCTAACACATGAGACCTGGCGGTTTTGTAAAATGACAGCTTTGTGACAAGATGAGCTGAATTTTGGAGGTAAACTTCCAAAGATTTGTTTGGCTCGCAAGTGGAAGGTTAGGGAGAAGGGATGCCAGAGATGACCCCAGGTTCTCAGGTTCTTCTGAAGAGCAACGGGGTGGGTGGAGGTGGCAATTGCTGGGGTGCAGTTTGGGGACGGTTGCTCCATCTGTAATTGCGAGATGCCTGGGAGACATCTGGGTGGGTCCAGCAAGCAGGGGTTGGACGTGCAGGATGAAAATACCACTAGGGGGCAGTTGTGCGATTCCTTTGTGTGTGTGGCAGAGGGGGGATTGTGGGTGCTCTTCCCCATGGGATGGGCAGGAAAACCAAGCAGAGCTTGTTTGCTCTTTTGGAAGACCTGGTGCCATCGAGCGTATGAGCATTCCCTTGGTTTTCTCCGGATTGATTCCTGCCAATTAAAAACTGACTACTGTGGGGTGACCTTGAACAAGTGACGCTTTATGAGCTCCGATTTCCCCTTCTATAAAAGAACCATAATAATACTTATCCCCTAAGTGTTTTGGTGAAGATTAGATGAGACAATATACATGGAGTCTTGTATAACCGATGCCTGTTAACTTAAATTTTATGGATAGTGAAAAGCCTGCAGCTTACTGCTGCCCTCTCACCTCCTCCCCAACATGGGCAGGAATTCACCATTCATCATTTCCAGGCTCTCTCACTCCCAGGCAGTGTGAGCCTGGTGCCCACTCATCCGTGTACCGCCCTCACGTGGCTGGGTCTCTCTTTCCAGGACATCAACCAGAAACTCCAGGAGGACAACCAGGAGCTGAGGGACCTCTGCTGCTTCTTGGATGATGACCGGCAGAAAGGCAAGAGGGTGTCCCGGGAGTGGCAGAGACTGGGCCGCTACACGGCCGGGGTGATGCACAAGGAAGTGGCCTTATACCTGCAGAAGCTGAAGGAGCTGGAGGTGAAGCAGGAGGAGGTGGTCAAGGAGAACATGGAGCTCAAGGAGCTCTGTGTGCTGCTGGACGAGGAGAAGGGCGCCGGCTGCGCGGGCAGCCGCTGCTCCATCGACAGCCAGGCCAGCCTGTGCCAGCTGGCCGCCCCTACCGCACCCTCGGTGCGTGACGTGGGTGACGGCAGCAGCACCTCCAGCGCGGGCAGCACGGACAGCCCCGACCACCACAAGCACCACGCGAGCGGCGGCAGCCCGGAGCACCTGCAGAAACCCCGGGGTGAGGGCAGCCCCGAGCACTCCAAGCACAGAAGCGCCAGCCCTGAGCATCTGCAGAAACCCAGGCCCCCCGGGACCCCGGATCACTCCAAAGCACTCAAAGGACCTAGCCCTGAGCACCACAAACCCCTGTGCAAGGGCAGCCCGGAACAGCAAAGGCACCCGCACCCAGGGGGCAGCCCTGAAACGCTGCCCAAGCACGTGTTGAGTGGGAGCCCAGAACACTTCCAGAAACACAGGCCAGGGGGCAGCCCTGAACATGCCAGGCACAGCGGAGGGAGCCCTGAGCATCTTCAGAAACATGCCCTGGGCGGGAGCCTGGAACACCTGCCCAGAGTCAGGGGCACCAGCCCCGAGCACCTCAAGCAGCATTTTGGGGGAAGCCCTGACCACAAACACGGAGGAGGTGGCGGCGGCGGCAGCGGCGGCGGCGGCAGCAGGGAGGGCACCCTGAGACGGCAGGCGCAGGAGGACGCATCGCCCCATCACCGGAATGTCTACAGCGGCATGAACGGTGGGTCAGTATGTGCTGGGCAACTGTGGGCAGCTGGGCAGAGGCAGGAACGATGAGGGCCTTTCCAGCCATGTTAGCAAGTGCGGAGTCGGGGCAGGAGGGAGGCTGTGCCCTCAGATCATAATGTGTGTTTCTTCCTGTCTGTGTGTTTCTCTTTTCCATAGAGAACAATCAAGTAGCCCGAAGAAGGCATGACAGAGGTCAGCAGAGGGCAAGGAGTGGGTTCTTAGGGTCCTGAATTGTCAGGGTTGAATCTGTGGGCATCAGGGATAACAATAGAATGCAACTATTCTAAGATTCTTTTTTTTTTTTTTAATTATTGGACTTGAGCATGAAATTAGAGGTATGCTGTTTCATACGAGGGCTTGCTTGTGAAATGGTGACCAAAATATTTTTGAATACAGGTAAAAGAATATTGGCAGGAAGAAATGACTATTTATCATGAAAAACAACAACAAGCTTAAAAAAAAAAAAGAAAGACAGTGTTCCCAAGCAGGCTTGATATTTGTTTGAATGACTTAACTTTGACCTTGAGGACTTTAAACATTGTGTTGGGGACTATTGCATGAATCTGTGACTCTCCTTTGCGTCTAAAATGCGATAAATGGTTGCCTTCCCCACTAAGACTCTACCAACTTTCTGACCAAACTCCCTTCACTGTGTTCTGGATAGTTTGCTTTTTCAATACAGAAGCTGTCTGTCCTGTTGTTGAAATGTCCCTCTTTAACACCGATGTATTTAGATGCTCTTCTCGTTTTGAAAGCATTAACATCCACTACATTTGCTGAGGTGGCTCTAGACCTGAGCTTTTAAACCTTTGGAAGAGGCTTAATTTTCTGCATCGTGGTTCTGAAACCTCTTTGAACTCAAGAGAGAAAGAATTCATTTCTTAAAGAAGAAATAAAAAAAAAAAAAAGAAAATGCACAATTCTCCTGTGTTACCTCTGATTGATTTGGAGCTAAAATGGTCAGTTTTATAAACTATGGATTTTTTTCATTCAAAACGTCTGAGGCTTTTTGCTCTATTTGAAAGATACTGTAGAGTCTGTATGCAGACAGTTCTGAGCAGTGAAGAAGGAGACTGACTGCTTTAGCAGCCACACAAAGGGGTAAATTTTCAATCCTCTACTTGGGGATTTACCTGTTGGATTCCATTTCATCCTAATCCTTTTCTCATAGTGCTGCAAATGACTCCAGAAGCTTGGTTTCTAATGCATCCAGCCTCCCTTTAAGTGCAAAGGGAACTAGAAAGAATAGGGCAGATAGGAAGCTGCTATTTTCTTGGTTGCTTGTATTCTGAGGTGGAGGCAGGGAGAAACCAGTTCACCCTCAAGTTGAGGCCTCCTGGTTGGTGCCTTTACCAGTGATTGAACCTTCACTGTCTTCCCAGGAGATGCAGGGATGCTGCTGTGGGCAGCTTGCTAAGCAGTTCCCTACAAGAGATGAAAGTAACATAAAAAGGTATTTTGGGTTGTTACTATCGAAAGATGGGATCATTGGCCATAACACTTGTCTTCAGGGGTAGTAATAGGTTAATGAGAAGGTATGGTTCATGATTTTTCCTTTACATGATTACTTTTTAAAGAGCTTGAGAAGTAAATATGATCCTATCCTATCTTAATGAAACTTTGTTTCTTAAAATAACAAAAAATATAATAGGGACAGGTGGGTCACTTGCAAAATAATTTTCTTTCCAAAAGTTCTCTTAAAAGAACTCTGTAGTTTTTAATTTTATTTTTAAAATCTATTATTATTATTATTTTGGATTGAAAAATCAGAATTGTATACCCTTATGGGGTATAATGTTATGTTTTGGTTCATGTATACAATGTGACGTGAATAAATCAAGCTAAGTAATATATCCACTACCTTGCTTAGGAGTCATTTTCTATAGGGAGACATTTGAAATTTACTTTCTTACTGACTTTGAAACACATGATACATTACTAGTGACTATATTCTACTGTGTGGTAGATGGTAAAACCTAGCCTTTCTGCCTACTGAAACTTTGTACCCTTTGAGCAATGACTCCCCATTTCTTCCCTCTCCCCAACCCAGCTTCTCATAACTGTTGTTGTTCTCCTTTCTACTCTGTCCGTTCCAGCTTTATTACATTCCACATGTATGTGGTACTTGTCTTTCTGTACTTGGCTTATTCTACTTAACATAATATACTCCAGATTCATCCTTGTTGTTGGACATGACATGATTTCCTTCTTTTTAATTGCTGAATAGTATGAGGGGTCTTTGAAGATGAGTAGTCCCCAAAAATAGTATGGATTCCAAATTATTTTTGCACCAAAATTATCTTTTAATTCAGTTTTCCATGAACTTTTTGAAATATCCATGTAGATCTGAATATCCACATTGAAATCAATATATAGAAGGGATGTCCTCACTCCCGTGTTTGAAAACCCCTCATATATCCAGGCATGGAAGTACTTGTGTCTAAGGGTTGGCAAAGCATGAAATGCCCCTTAAACTGAGAAGGTATCTGGAGACCAGAGAATGAGGAAAGAAGCTCTGTTAAGAATAAAAATGTTTCCTAGGCAACATATATCTGGAATTCTAGACCACGATGGATGGGTGATCTAGGCCCACAAAATCCTGTAGCATGCATTTTTTTTTCTGCAGAGGGTAGCAGAACAGGTAATATTTTATACCTTCACAAGCCCAAAGGGGGATGGGAGTTGGAACTTGTGTTACAGCACTCCTTTACTATTGGAATTTAGCCCCTTGAGAATTTTGCTGGTTTTCCTGAACCTTATCAGAAAGGGTTGTGACAGCACTTAAACTATATAGCTGGATGGTGGGGTTAGTTAACTTGGCACGTGGTCACCATTCTTCTGGGAGAGAGAGGACAAAATTGAAGGACATTAAAATGGTTTGCTGTGTTTCTGGAAGTGGGATTGCTGGTTTGTATTGTAGTTCGACATTTGGTTTTCTGAGGAAGTTCAATACCATTTTCTGTAATGACTGTATTAGTTTATATTCCTACCAAAAATATATTAGAGTTCCCTTTTTTCTGATTCTTCTCCAAAATGTACATTTCTTTTTTGAAATAAGCTATTCTAACAGGAATGAGGTTCTATCTCATTGTGGTTTTAGCTTGTGTGATCTAATGATAGTGATGTTCAGCATTTTTTCATGTATCTATTGGCCATTTGTGTATCTCCTTTAAAGAAATGTCTGTTTAGGGTCTTTGAGTTTTTTTTTTAATATTTGTCTATTTTTTTTTAAAGTCAGAGTTACACACACACACAGATTGAGAGAGAGAGAGGAGAGAGAGAGAGAGAGAGAGAGAGAGAGAGGTCTTCCATCCACTAGTTCACTCCCCAATTGGCTGCAATGGCTGGAGCTGGCTGATCCAAAGCCAGAAGCCAGCAGCTTCTTCTGGGTCTTCCACGTAGTACAGGGGCCCAAGGACTTGGGCCATCTTCCACTGCTTTCCCAGGCCATCAGCAGAGAGCTGGATAGGAAGTAGAGCAGCCGGGACCCGAACTGGTACACATATGGGATGCCGGCACCGAAGGTAGCAGCTTTACTCACTATGCCACAACGCCAGCCCCTTGGCTATTTTTCAGTCAGATTTTCTTGATGTTGAGTTCTAGAGTTCCTTATATATTGCAGATATTAACTTGCTATCAGATGTAAGGTTTACAAATACATTTTCTCATTCTGTAGGGTTTCTCTTCACTTTTTGAATTGTTGTCTTTCCTATTTTACTTTCATGTAATCCTACTTTTTTTTTTTTTTTTTTTTTGTGGTTGCCTGCACTTTTGTGGTCATATCCACAAAGTCATTGTGCAGACAATGTTACAGAACTTTCTCCCATTATTTTTTTCCAATAGCTCAACAGTTGCAGGTCTTATATGTAAATCTTTAATCCATTGTGATGATTTGATAATGGTTTTCATATATGGTATAGGGTAATGATCTAATTTCATTCTTTTGCATGTGGATATCTTAGTTTTCCCAACACCATTTATATCAGAGACTGTTTTCTCCCCATTGTGTGTTCCTGGTACCTGTGTTAAAAACACTTGACTGTAAATGCATGGGTTGGTTTCTGGGGTTTCCATCATGTTCCATTGGTAGATGTGTGGATTACCATTGCTTTGCAATGTATTTTGAAACCAGGGAGTATGAGGCCTATAGCTTTGTTCTTTTTACTCAAGATTGTTTTACCTATTCAAGATTTTTTTCTTTTTATTTTAATTATTCTATATAAATTTAAAGATTTTTTTTTTGTTTCTGTGAAAAAGGATATTGGGGCCGGCGCCGCAGCTCACTAGGCTAATCCTCCGCCTTGCGGTGCCGGCATACCAGGTTCTAGTCCCCGTCGGGGTGCTGGATTCTGTCCCGGTTGCCCCTCTTCCAGGCCAGCTCTCTGCTGTGGCCCGGGAGTTCAGTGGAGGATGGCCCAAGTACTTGGGCCCTGCACCCCGTGGGAGACCAGGAAAAGCACCTGGCTCCTGGCTTTGGATCAACGCGGTGCGCCGGCTGTGGCAGCCATTGGAGGGTGAACCAACGGCAAAGGAAGACCTTTCTCTCTGTCTCTCTCTCTCACTGTCCACTCTGCCTGTCAAAAAAAAAAAAAAAAAAAAAGGATATTGGAATTTCCATATTGCAACAGATCTGTAGATCGATAACTTAGGGTACTTGTGGACAGTCTCACAACACTATATTTCTTTCAATTTGTGAATATGGGATATCTTTCCATGTAATTGTATTTGCTTCAATTTCCTTCATTGGCATTTTAGTGTTTTTATTTTTTTAAAAGATTATTTATTTGAAAGTCAGAGTTACACAGAGAGAGGAGAGGGGGAGAGAGAGAGAGAGAGAGAGGTCTTCCATCAGCTTGTTAACTACCCAACTGGCCACAACGGTCAGAGCTGTGTCCATCCGAAGCCAGGAACCAGGAGCTTCTTCTGGGTCTCTCATACAGGTGCAGGGGCCCAAGGACTTGGGCCATCCTCTACTGCTTTCCCAGGCCATAG